CAAAAAGAAAAAAGAAGCCAAAAAACTGAGGAGAGTGTAAGGAGCCTCTGGGACAACTTCAAGTATGCCAACATTCGCATCTTGGGGTGCTGTTGTAACCCAGGAGATCGACCAAACTCAGATGCCGAGATGGGGTTTAATAAAAGGAGTTTATTGAGCTAAGTCCGCAGGCACTTACAGTATGTCCCACACAGGAGTAACTGCGGCCTCGGAGAGCTAAAATGGCTCCTTTTTATAGGATTTTGTAAGGGGGTTGCTACGTGTAAGCAAGCATGTTACAGAAGCGGAATTTAGCAGTTAGTTAATTATCTGTTACTCAGTTTCCCAGACATCTCAAAGGTCAAGATGTTTTCAATAGATTATCCCTGGTGCTGCCCAGGATTACTCAAGGGTTAGTTATTACCCCAGGGTTAGCGATTACTTAGGGATTAGTTAGTGAAGAATGTTCTTGAGTAAAAGAGTAAACTGACAACCCCTTTGGTTGTTGTGAAGGCCTCTGGGAGTTTAGGTCAATGGCACTGAGTTATAACAGTGCCAGAAGGAGAAGAGAGAGAACAAGAAATCGAAAACCTATTTGAAACAATAATGGTAGAAAACTTCCCTAACTTAGTGAAGGAAACAGACATACAACTCCAGGAAGCATAGAGAGTCCCAAACAAGAGAGGCCCACACCAAGACACATCATCATCAAAATGCAAAAGGTTCAAGACAAAGACAGAATCTTAAAAGCAGCAAGAGAAAAGCAGTTAGTTACCTACAAGGGAGTTCCCATAAGACTGTCAGCTGATTTCTCAAAAGAAACTTTGCAGGCCAGAAGGGAGTGGCAAGAAATATTCAGAGTGATGACAAGCAAGACCCTACAACCAAGATTACTCTATCCTGCAAAGCTGTCATTTAGAATTGATGGCCGTATAAATACTTTCCCAGACAAGAAAAAGTTAAAGGAGTTCATCACCACCAAACCGTCATTATATGAAATGATGAAGGGTCTTTTTGAAGAAAAAGATAAAATATATGAACAAACAAAATGGCAATAAACAAATATCTATCGGCAATGGAATCTACAAACAAAATGAACAGGCAGAACAGAAACATTCTCATAGATACAGAGAACATTTTGTTGGTTGCCAGATGGGAGGGGGCTTGGGGGAATGGGTGAAAAAGGTGAAGGGATTAAGAAGAACAAATTGGTTGCTAGACTGACAAACCTCAAAGAGAAGGGGGTTAGATGGTGGGAAGAAATAAACCAAAGAACTTATATGCATGACCAATGGACACAGACAATAGTGTGGGAAAAGGCGGGAGGGGGGTGGGTGTGGGAAGGAGGGGGTCGATGGGGGGAAAATGAGGAACATCTGTAATACATTCAACAATAAAGATAAAATAAAATAAAAAGACACAGAGGGGGGAAAAAAAACACAGGGCAGTGACCCAAGTACAGACTCCTCTTTCAGGAAGACCAGAGAATGTTTGGGAAAATATTATTCCACTTTTCAGATAGAAAAAGTCAATTACAATAATGGTATATAATAAATTTTGACCTCCTAAAATAAATTTTTATTAAAAAATATACAGTTTCCCCTCAATTAGCTTTAGGGATGCTGGTTGGAACTGAGGATTATTGCAGAGCCAGCCCCAGGGAAGGAGGCAGCAGGCCGCTACAGTGTCTTCATTCCCCCCCCACCCAGCACCTGAACACACACCCTGCTGTCTGAAATGAAGCTTAGAGTGGTGACTCGCCTGCTGCCTGCCAGCCTTCCTCTTGGCTTATCTCTGTCCATTTGGATGGTCTGCAGGTATGCCTGTTACCTTACAGGGGATCTGACCCTGTGCGGGCCTGCCTAGGGCCAGCCCATAGTATGTGGGTTCTTGATTTCGTGCAGGGAGGATTTTACAACATGAACCCAGGTGACTTTGAGGGTACATTTATTAACGCTGGGGACAGTGAAACAAGGGAGGGCTTAGCACAGAAGAAGCAACAGGAGAGCACGGGCTAGGCTCCCTTAGCTCCCTGGGAAGTCAGAGAAAAGGGGGCCTTGGGGACAGGTCCCAGGGGGTTAGCCTGGGACAAGCTGCCACTGCTCATTGCTCCCCTGGTTGCAGGTCTCATGGGGTCCCTTAGAGTTTAGGAGCTGGATGTCTGTGGGGGAAATGGGGGGTGAAGGGGAAGGCATGGGTATGCTTCCCAGAGGGAAGAGCGTGCACTGGGTCCTTTGTCTTGAGGGTTTTTATCTCTCTTGCAGGTGGGAATCTTAGAGGAGGTCTCAGGGGAGGGTTTTAGCAAACTATTCATCAGTTTTCCGGGTGTGCTCTTTCAGGATCCTGGTCTCTACTGATTGGTCAATGCCAGGGTGGGGATCATTAGTCATTGCAGATGGTCCTGGTGTTGCCCACCTGGTTTTGCTGCTTTTCTGGGTCGGAGCTGAAATACAACTGAGGCCTAGATGTCATCTCTAGGGAAGTGACTTGTATCAGATGTAAATTGCTCAGCCAGTTCATTCAGCTATCGGTCTCAGTCTTCCTTTTCCATGTGTCCTGGCTTACAGCCTGTCTCATGCCCATACCTGCGGCTCCCTGTTGTGTTGCATCCACATAAGCATATATCCTGCCTCACCTCACGGTCATGTCCACACAGCTTCAGAAGAATATAGTTCCGTTCTTTGGCTTCTCATGAAGTCAGCTGATGTGTGAGTCCTGGGCGAAGGCTTCATTTCCTACAGCCCGCACCTCCCCCACCGCACCAGGCACCTCCTGGGCACCTAGCAGTGTGCACAGAGGGAGTTTCGCATGAAGAGGAATCCAGCACCCTGAGGCTGTCTGTTGCTCTCCCTTTACAAGAGTGGGCAGTGGCTGTGTTGGGTGACAGTTGGAGTTATATGACGGTGACTCAGATGCCCTTAGACCAGGCTTAAAGCCCTTTCCCTTGCTCTGTGGTTGGTATGCGATCTGAATGGCTGGCTGGTCCTCTCACAATGAGCCGGTGTCCATCTGCGCTCACGGGCGTTGTTTGCAGGTGCTACCAGCCTCCTCCAAAGGCATCCTGTTGTTCTCCAAGGGCAGGGCTATATCTCTTCTTTTTTTCTTTTAAAAGTTTCCCCATGGCACCTGATAAGACTGCACATGGGGGTAAATTTTCCTTCCTCCTCTTCCTTTGACCTTCACCAGATATAAACATAGTCCTGAACCCATGGGCCCTTGCAGAAGACTGACTACCCCCAGGCCTTGATCTTGAGAATTTTACAGTAAAAGTGGGATGAACTCAGACGACTCAGATCCAGGCCAGTAGCAAGACAGAGTCCAGAGCCTGCTGTCTGCTCTCTCAGGCCCACTTGAGACAGGTGGTGTGGGACCATCAGCTTAGCCCTGGAGTCACACAGAGCTGCGAATCCTGGCTCCACCCTGCCGAGCATCTTGTTATTTAACCCCTCATCCTCAATTTCTTATTCTGTAATGTCAGGATAATAAAAAAGCTGTTCATTGTTGAGGCCTTTTGCACCCGTGAATAACATCTTTCTTGCTTGTGTTCTGAATCGGTTGGTACTTTTGAGTAAAGAGCTGGCAGAAAGTGGCCAACATGCCACCGTTGTTACTGAGAAAGGTCGGCAGGTGGTAGATGGCTTTGGGGCTTCAACTGAGGATCTGAGAATCAGGAGGATGCTTCCTCCAGTCACAGGCTGTTAGACAACCACGGGCGTCCTCTGGGAAAGACTGTAAATCTAGGTTTTGGATGGTTGAAACAAAAGCACTGACTCCTCGTGTTCCCAGGGGAAGCACTGGGCCTCACTGTAGCCTCTGAGCTAGTTAGTTACTGAACAGTTCACTAAATAGATGCTCTCCTCCCAGGAAGAGCATGGGAGCTGCTGAGAAGGACCAGGAATGTTCCACCGGTGGAGCTTCCCACTCGGGACAAGAAGACATGGAGAAGCTGCCTCCGTTGCTGGTGGTGGTGGGGTTTTGGTGGAGCCTCTGGGATTCCAAGATGTTTCAGAGGAATGCTTTCATAAAGAGTTACAGTTGAGCCCTGGCCTATTTGGCTCAGTGGTTAGAGCGTTCGCCTGCAGTCCGGAGAGACCCCGCTAAGGGCATGTGGGCATGTACCTTGGTTGCAGTTTGTCCCCGGCTCTGGTTGGGTTGTGCGGGTGGCAACCACTCGATGTGTCCCTTCACATCGATGTTTCTCTCTCTCTCTCTCTGTTCCTCTCTCTCCCTCCCACTCTACCTGAACAAAAAATGGAAAAATGTCCTCGGGTGAGGATAAAAATAAAAATAAATAAAAAAAAAAATTATAAAAAGAGTTACAGTTGAGCCCTGGCCTGTTTGGCTCAGTGGTTAGAGCGTTCGCCTGCAGTCCTGAGAGACCCAGGTTCAGTTCCCGCTAAGGGCATGTACCTCGGTTGCAGTTTGTCCCCGGCCCTGGTCGGTTGTGCGGGTGGCAGCCACTCGATGTGTTCCTTTCACATCGATGTTTCTCTCTCTCTCTCTCTTCCTCTCTCTCCCTCCCACTCTACCTGAACAAAAATGGAAAAATGTCCTCGGGTGAGGATAAAAAAAAAAAAAAAGAGTTACAGTTGAGCCCTGGCCAGGTTGGCTCAGGGTTAGAGTGTTGGCCCGCGGACCAGAGAGTCCCAGGTTTGGTTCTCACTAAGGGCACATATCTTGGTTGCAGTGTGTTCCCGGCCCCAGTTGGGGTCATGTGAGTGGCCACCAGTCAATGTGTCTCTCTCGCATCGATGTTTGTCTCTCCCTCTTCCTCCCTCTCTCCCACCTGCTCTATCTGAAGATGAATGCAAAAATAAATACATAAAAAAGAGTTGCAGTTGAGTTTACCCTTTATTAGAGCAAGCCTTCCAGTGCTGCTGCAGTATTTGTAAATGCTACACTGTGCATTTGGAACGCATTTCTCGTTCAGTGTGCTGTCTTAGACTGTTTCTGAGGCAGCCTCCTCCATTCTCCGTCTTTGGCACTGGCTATCTCCTAAGGCCTGTCTGTCTCCTTTGCAGTGCAAGATGGAATTCCATGCGTGCTCTACAGGCAAGAGCCTCACCACCCTCTGTGACGGGCCCTGCCCATGTCTCCCAGAGCCTGAGCCACCGAAACACAAGGCAGACAAGAATGGTGAGTAGGGGTCATGGGGAAATCCCTGAAGGAGGACCAGGTGGTCAGGGAGGATGGGCAGCATTTATTTATTAAATCATGGCATTTATCAGCGCTGTTCCAGCCGGCAGGGGAGAGGGGCTTACTTGGCAAGTGCTACAGCTTGTTTAGGGACTGCCTTCAGCTACCACTGAAAAGAAGAAGAGCTGAGAGTCTTTAAAATTAATCCAAGATATGCACTGGGTTCTTCAAGGGGTCAACTCGGCTCTGGTGTAGGACGGGCAGGTTTTCCAGCATCTAAGACCAGGGCCTGCCCTGGGGTACATCTTGGTCTTTCTTGAACTCTAATCTCTAAATCCTTTGAACTTCTCAATGCCAAATTTCAAAACAGAGACTACAGAGATGTCATAATGGTGCAGAGTATTTCCCCCGAAAAGTATTTCTCTATTAATGTATTCTGCTTGAAAGACAGCACAGAGCCAGGGACACATGAAAGGAGCGTACCTCCCCGGGGGCAGCAGTTCCCTTCTGTGGCCCAGGGGGGCAGGGAGGTTGGCCTACTTGGGTGCTTTCATGGTGGAGAAAGTCATGTCGTCCCACTGGCCTCAGCTTCCTTTTGAGGTGTCTTTAAAGAGACCTGGGACAGAAGGCTGCCTTCTGTGGACCTGAGCATTCTCAGGTATAGCTGGCTAGTCCCTGAAAAACGTAGCAGGTTCCTGTGTGTGTGTGTGTGCATGTGTCTCTGTGTGTGTGTGTTCCTAGGTGCATGTTTCTGTGTGTGTCCCTGTGTGTGTTTCCCTGTGTGTGTGCGTGTGCCCCTGTGTATGTATTTCTGTGTGTGTACCTGTGTGTATGTCCCTGTATGTGTATGTACGTGTGTCCTCTGTATGTGTGTGTCACTGTGTGTATGTACATGCAGATACATGTCTTCTAGTGTCTTTTTGTAATGGAGGAGGATGAACAGTGTGAGTGTTTATCCATTTGCCTCTTTTCAAGTCATATTGTCTCTTCAAGGGCACATAGGAGATATTCACGTCTAAATGTGTTTGTGGTGGTGGCTATGGATATAATGCATTAAAGGGCACTTTGGGAGGTTTAACTCAGAATGTGGAGGGACACTGTGACCATAAAGCACTGTGGTCACAAGGAGTCTCCATAGATTGCTCGTGATTGCCCAGAAGCTGATCTCATTGCATTGTGGCCTGATGCACTTATATAACTGCAGGAAGAAGTGCTAATTAATGGACATAACCCTCCTTGTAGTGTGGACAGAAAACCTAAACCCCGTGCTGTTAAGCAGCTGGAGTCCAGGCAGGTGACTTCTGTCTGCAGATCTATTAGCCATCTTCATAGGAAGATTCAATAGCCTCTATTATTCTAGGTATATTGTTTATAGCTTTTATTTACTCTCCCATTCCGAGGCATGGAAACCAAACCAAGAATCTCATCCCCACCATTCTGCCTGCAGTCTGTACCTGGGGGCGAACACAGGTCTCCTCACGGGCGCAGGCTCTGCGAAGGCTCCGGACTTGCCACCAGGAGGCGACAGGCCAGTTTCCTGGGAGGACTTTGTGGTTCTCCAGATGAAGTGCAGCCCTTAGGTCTTAACGGTGGGCTTGTCATGCCTGATCCGATGGGATCCACTCTCAAGTATGACACTCTAGGCATGGCCCTGGCCACACACACGTTTGTTCAATTATATGCTGGTTAAAACTGGGACACGTTTTTATCGAGCCTATGCGAGTAACCACTTGCCATTCAAAGTGCTGTTCCTGAATTCTGAGAGCTCGAGGGGGGACAAGATGCCATCTCAAAGTCTTTCATTTCAAAATGTTTGGAAAAGCAAAATGCTAAGTTAATAGTGAGAGCCAGATCAGGAAGAAGGAGGAAGGACTTCACCATATAGCCGTCAGAAATGAGGACAGTAAAGAATTAGAACAAAATGTTCTAAAACAAATAATCAAAAGTGTATTTCCCTCATCAGTCCTTCAGGCATTGGGAATTATTTTTGTTCCATTGGCTCTTGGGTCAACAGTTTGCTTTTATGAAGTCCTCTGGCCCCGGACAGAGTCCTGGAGCTCCACCCCAGTCTCTGGTGCCATCTGGCTCGTGGCTAAGACATGCGGCCTGGGGCCTGTGACCACGAGTGGGCTACACGACGTGTCCATCCAGCCTGGCGTGGCTCTTCCCATGAGGCTCTGAGGCCGTCCTGTGTTAAAGACCCAGTTTCTGGGCTGCGACGTACAGCGGAGTTTTTACAAAAGCAGGAAGGGAAGCAGAAACTACCCCTTGATGACAGGACTGAATGGCTGTAGTGAATGTGTCACGTACCCAGCAACAACCTACGAAGGAGAAGGCAATCCCTTGTTAGGTACGGTGCCTAACTTTTCACGTGGGTGCCCCCGGGGGAAGAGGACGTACATCCCTGGAGTCCTTCTGTGAAAGGGTGAAATTAATGGCATTTTACCTGGACAGGTCAGTCAAGGGAAGGCTGACATTCTCTTTTGATTTGGCGACTCTTTCCACGCAGCTGCCATAGTGGTTTGTGACTGGCACTGGGTCCTAAGCTGAGGTTGTGGCGCGGAGGACGAGGCGGGCGGATGGGCAGGGAGTGGTCAGAGGTGAAGTGAAAGGCAGCTTAGCTGGGGGGTGGGGGGTGGGGGGTGGCTGCTCCTTCAGGCATTGGGGTAGCGGTCCCCACCTTGGTGGCACACTGGGACTCTGGACGGAAGCAGGAGCAGTCTTGTTCCTGTGCCTCTTGCAGAAATGACATTTCATAGTCTCACCAATGCAGGCATGTCAAAATACGGCATTGGTGGTGTTGTTGATGTTTTGTTTTCTATCTTCTGCTTTGAGCCTTGGTTCCATCTGGTAATGAAGGCATTACTGTAGCTGCTTCCAGGTCAAGCCTGTCAATTCAGAGTTGTATCCAAAGTCTAGAAAGTAGGGTTCGGGTGGGGGCTTCTGAGCTGTGACACGGGGAGAAGTGGCCCTGGGGCTGTTGCTCTTCCTTTGGCACCTACCTTCGTGGGGTTCTTGCATCGTCAGTCCGTTGGCCTTCAGTGTTCATCCCACTGCATCCGGGAGGTGTGTGAGGGCCCACCCATGACATCTGCTCATCATGTCTGTCGAGGTCATCGAGCCGCCTCCCTCTGTGTCCTCCTCTTGGGTGCACTCGTCCTCACACAGCCCCTCAGGGACACAGGACACTTGGGGGTGCCCTTCTGTGGCTTCGTGTCAAGAGAGACTGTGGTGTGGCCCTGGCTGGGTGGCGTGGTTGGTTGGAGTGTGGTCCCGTACACTGAAAGGTCACGGGTTTGATTTCCGGTCAGGGCACATACCTAGATTGGGGGTTTGCTCCCCAGTTGGGGCTCATATGGGAGGCAACTAATTGATATTTCTTTCTCACATTGATATTTCTCTCCCCCTCCCCCCACTTCCTTTCTCTCAAATCAATAAACATATTCTTGGGTGAGGATTTTAAACAAAGGCTTGGTAAGGTTGCTGTCCCAGCCCTCTTCTTGGATCGGCTGGGCCGCCATGTCCATTCAGTGCAGGGGGTAGTCTTACAGGCTTGCCTCCAGTTGGATTTCATACTGTAGCAAAACAGTCCCCTCTGCAGCTGGGCTCTCCATCCATCTGAGGTTCACAAGTGCCTCTTCCCTGCCCGGGGCCTGGCGTGGGGCTGGAGACAGGAGAACTGTGGTGAGGAGCCTTCCCAGGACTCACCTGCCTCCACCTGCTCTCCTCCCAGAATGTCACCTCTTGTAGCCCCAGCTGTGATCAGTGCTGGAAGTGAGTGTGGAAGGTGGCGAGGGCAGGTCTGACTTATTCCTCTGACTCTCTAGACTGTTCTGCTTCATCCAGCCTTTGGCCTTTTGAATTACAATGTACCCAGCTCTAGCAAATCAGAAGTTTCTTGTCTCTTTCAAGAGCGTTTGGAGGAAGTCTAAACCAAGGGGTTGACTTTTTTTATTCTCTTTGTTCTTTCTGGTGTCTCACCTTTGATGTAGTCCCTGAAGATAAGGTGGAGGTGAGGGCATCATTTAATATCTCTGGCTGTTTCCTCTCACATCTCTAAGTTATCTCACGAACTTGAACAAGTTACCTAATTGCTTTATCTCTCTTATCTCTATGATACCAGTTCAGCCTCAAGAGTATTGAGTGATGATTGTCCTAAAAAAAGACAACAGGAAAAAGGGAACATGTCTGAGGTCCTCGTTTCCTGGTTTCTTGCAGTGGTTGAAAATCTAAGGGGAAAACCGGTCCTCTTACAATCAGCCTGTACAATATACATTTAGACTACCCCACACTCTGCCCTTCCAAACCTGAGCCCGCCCCTGCCTCCTTGCCGTTGGGAGCCAGACCACTTCGCGTGGCCTTGTTTCAGCCGGGGGAGGGTTTGAGCTCCGCGGTGCTGAAGTGAGCATTCTGTTGTTGTAGGATCGCTGAGTAGGAAAGAGATCTCTTATCTCCTTCCACACTATGCTGAGGGGCACGTGTCCCTCCAAGGCGCCCAGGTTTCTCATGAAGACCAGGGAAGGCAGGTGGGTGGGTCCCCCAGCCTCCCCCATAGCCACTTCGTCTTTATGCTTTCCTACGGTAGACTGCAGCTGTAGGAAAAGAGATTGAGCACGGGCGACTCTTGTTCAGGCCCCTGGGGACCACCGAGAGAAGGGGTCTTGCCTGAGGTGGAGCTGGGGTAGAGCCTGTTCCTGTCCTGTGCCCACCTCAGGTCGCTCGCGGTCAGCAACCGTCAGCCTGAGGTGGTAGAGGGTCTGGAGCTGAGTTTTGTGGGCATTAGATTTAATTTCTCCAGGATCTCATGTCACTTGCTTGGATCTTGAAGTGCCAGTCATCAGGCACAGAATGTCATTGTGTTCCCTGCACCAGTGATGCTCTGAATGATATTCGAGAAGGAAGCAGAGAGAACAGCACCATCTCAAAGGACAGCTCCTTTGCTCCTGTTGGCACAGATTAGCTGTTGGAAAGCCAGTCACCCCAAATTCCGGAGAGCGCTG